TCTTACTACAGACTAGAACTTGGCTATGAATTGGTTAAATGACTTACCCAGAGTAACTCATCACTTCAGTAAGTAACACACAGAGAAAGCATGGTCCAACTCATCCCACTGGACTACTGTCTGCTCAGTAACAGCAATGCAAAGTAAGAGTTTCCATTTTATGTACCACAAATACAAGAGCATTTTATATCATTTGATGAATAGCTTGACCACAGCAAACTATATTCAAGCATCACTGATTGATCTAAAGTGCATTAAAAAAATCTGAAAGTATGATTTTAAAAATGCTTCTGAAGCTAAATAAATGAAGAAAACGAGGAAAAAAAATCCCAAGTGACATGGGATAAAAAATAATATTTAAACATATCCCCCCATAAATCATCCCAAATCAAAAGGGAAACAGGAAGAAATAATGGTTTACTTACTACTGAATTTCTGATTAACAACTCTTGCATTGCAATTTAACAAGAGAAGGATGTGTCTGAAAAAAAAGTCTTCATTGTAATAAAATTTTAACCTACCAGCATCATTTGAAAGGAATCCTCCTAAGAAATGCAGAGTTGTGAAATTATACGTATTAGCACTGCAAAAAGCAATCAAAGGGCAGAGTAACCAGGTCAGGGGGAAAAAATAAAGCACACTTTTCTGTAATGCTACTGAAAACCAATGCTACAAGACAAATTAAAGGCTCTCAATAACCCCTTTGGAAAAGAACCACTTACACCTTGACTTGGAGCCTATTACACAACCAGACCAGAAAACGAGCTAGTGCACACCACCACAACAAAAATATCCTATTTTATCAGAGTACTAAAAATTAAAGATTAGATATATTATTATTAGCAAGATGAATATTTTATGGCTGGGTGTTTGGTTAGGGGTTTTTTTTCATTTTTGCATATAGAAACACAAAAATATTTTCAATTGCTATGTAAGAATCTCTTGATGATTAGCAAACCATGCTTGGTATATACACACCTGCTCCAAAACCAAAATAATTCCACAAGGACAATTTAAAATATCCTACTGTGCAGCATTTTCATTTGACACAATGCTTCCTACGCTATTATAATGCTCAATAAAAGCATAGTTAGCTGTCAAAATACACCATCCATCCTGGAAACTCATGCACAAAGTTAACCCTCAGCATGTAAGCAGGTGCTTTTAAGGCAAGGACACAACACACAAACTTTCAGGTGTTCATATGTTTAGGTGTTCTTTTCCAGGAACTTTGGTCAGGAGACCAACAAGACACACACAAACATAGCACCTATGTGCTAAAGCACATCTGGAAAGAAAAAAAAAAAAGGGGGAAAATAAAAAGGCCAATTCTACTCAGGAAAGACAATTGAAACAAGTTGTATTGAATTGTTCAGTGCAGTGTAACTGAGTAATAAATTTAAAGCAAATATATTAGCAGATTTCTGCTGTATAGCAGAATGCTCACATATATTTACTTATTTATGTCTCAAAAGCTCAGATAAAGGAAAGTTAACCTAACTTCAACTTCTATGCTTTTGTCAATCCTTGAAATTTACATACGTACTGTATTAATAGCAATTTAAAATGAGAAAAAGTGTATCATGTACAGAGCGATCACTTAAATCTGTCATAAAAATTTGGATTTGACTTCCTAAGGTACTGTACTTCCACAGAAACTGGTAAAAGGCTTTCTATTTAAGCTAACATTTATAAACAAACACAACAAATGTGGCAAATACTTGGCAAAGAATTTAAAATTTTTTCTTTTTAATAACACATTTTAAGGTGCCTTTTATTCAAGCAAATTATAGCTTTAAGGGAAGACATAATTTTAAAAGTTAGATATAGGAGTCTACTTCCTTTAGAATAAAATTCTGTACTTGGTGCACTTTATATACTACCTCAAAGGAAAACAAGCAATTCAGTGTTTCTTTTTAGTTTCCAGACAAATCAGAAAGCCAGGTAATAGAAACCTCTGTTTTAATTGAAATACAGTGCATTTTTAAGTTCTATTCTCTTCTTGAGTTCATAAAAAGATGGAGGTGGAAGATATTTTTGAATAAAGGGTTATGATACAAGGCCCCTTTAAAACCATAATGAGGTTACTACTTAGCAATTACTACACAACAGGCCTTGCATCAACATGAATATTAGGGTAATTTTTAAGAAAGCTACAACAGAGGCTAAAACAGCAATAATGTTCCTGATTTCAAAGCTAATCTCTCTCCAGACAGAAATGCATTTAGAAATATAAAAAATTAAACAGAAATACTTTCTGAGATCTAAAGGTCCACTGCAGGCACATAGAATTTTCATATGAGGCTACTAAGGTAAAGACCAAGATTTTCAGGTGGAAACAGCCACTTTTTTAGCATCAAATAATTTTTTAGCATCAAACTTCAGGACACACCAAGTGTCCTATTTTTTTTCCACAAAATGACAATTACTAAAACTAGATTCTGTTAAAGATAATTCAAATCTGTTTTTTGATATAAATTTCTGGGGTTTCTTTATTTTCAGTTTTTAGCCAAGGACTTTTCTTTCATTCCTTGATAGAACTGACAGACAAATAGATTGCAATAACAATGACTACCTTGACAGCAATATTAAGTTTCTAGAAGAGATGTGTAGATAAGGTTTATCTACTACTACACTCTTAGCTTTATCAACAGCTTGCTGAAAATGAAACGGAAATACACTTGCAAGTCAAGTCAGTCAGCTCTTGTTAAGTGAGTATTCAAATCCCTTTCTAAAATCAGAAGCAGTCAACACCTTGAAGTTCAGCATACCAGCTGAATACTCAACACAAAGAACAGTGGAATTGGGGGGCAAAAAGAAGAGGAAAAAAAGGCATGGGACAGATACATCATGTTCAAGTTCACAAAACTTGATCCTGTGAGCTAAGTTCCATTAATGTGTCAGTATAGGAGAACTTAAATTACATCGACACATACACAACAATTCTTCCAGATCCAAAGGAAGATGCCTTTGCAATATAAACTTCTACAATTATTTTACTCTTGCAGGTCTTCACAAGTCTAAAACAAATCCAAGTTTTCCAAAACATAAAGTTTTCCAATAACAGGCATGACAGCAGGTTTGATTATCTTAATCTATCTTTCCCCAGCTAAAGAGTTAAGACTAGCAGCCAGTCACCAGCACCAGATGTTGATGCTTGTTCAGGCACATAGGAGTGTCTCCTCCACGCACTCAAGTCACACAAACACATATATGTTTATGACAGATACACAGAAAGTTCTCATCCTCCCCTGGGGATAAAACAGTGCAGTTGGAAACAACGTTTTCCCCGATAAAAGAGACAGCAGAAATTAAACATGCTTATGTTAGATTTGAATAAGCAGCAGAAGCAAATACCACCTTTCACAAACATATTTTCATTTTCCCACATTACAGAGCCTCCAAAACAAAGTTACTTGTAACTTGACCAAGAAAAACCCATCCTAAAACCAAGAACACCCATTACTTGGTCCTTGTTTTCACCAGAAGCATACATACACTAACTAGACTGCTAACACTGACACTTGCATCTTTCCCCACAGCCCTACTGTCCCCCTCTTATCCCTAACCTGTCACCCTGTGCCACCTCCTCTCCCAGCACGGGTCAGGCTCACGCCAGAGCTTGTCATCGCCGCCCAGGCGGGCAGGGGAAGGCTGGTTCCTTCCTACGGCGCCCGCGCTCTGTCCCTTCCAAGTTTGTTTTACAAACACGTCCCAGGGAAAGCCAGAACCTGTTTATACACCGCCTTAACCTGCGCCAGAAGGAGAGTGAAACAGGCGCAGGCAAAAAAAAACAAAAACCAAAAAAACCCACAAAAAACCAAAAAAAAACCCCAAAATTTTTTTCAACCGAAAGCCAGCCAGCAACACCCCCGTCTCACCGCCTTTCTCCGCCCGGGGCCCGCGGCGCAGGCCGCACGGCCGCTCGGCGGAGCGCGGGGCCGGCGCAGCCCCGGCCGTGGGCGGCAGGTTCCGCTGCCCCGGCGCCGGGCCCGGGGAAGGCGGCGGGCGGGGGCCGGGCGGCAGCGCAGCCCCGCGGGGCCAGGCTCGGAGGGACGGAGGAGGCCTGGGACCAGCCGGCGGGGCGGCGGCGGGAAGAAGCCGTTCGGGCGGGCCGGGCGGGCCGAGTGGGCCGCAGGGCGAGCTGCCAACGGCGGCCGCAGAGATGCGGGGCCCAAACACCGCCGGGCCGCGGCCTCGCCCGTCCCCGCAGTGGTGCCCGGGGGCCCCGCCGCCCGCGGCCGCGGAGGAGGGCGGAGGGCAGCGGGCCGGGCCGGGCCTGCGGCTGCGCCCCCGGCTCGGGCGCCGCGCGTCCCCCCCGCTCCCCCTCGGAGACAAAAGCAAACGGAAACACGGCGGGGCGGCCCCAGGTCCACCGAGCCTCGCCGAGGGCCGCGCCGCCGCCCGGGCCTCCCACATCGGGCCGCGGCCGGGACGGCTGCGAGGCCCGCGTCGGCGGCGGGGCCGGGGAGGGGCGGCCGGGGCCGGACTCACCGCATGAATTTTCTTGTCCCGCGAATCCAAGATGGCTGAGTATCCAGCACGGAGGATGCTGGGGGAGCAACCTTTACCCTCTGACCCGGCCGCCGCCGTGACCCCGCCGCCGCTCGTCCCGGCCGCCGGCGCCGAGGGGCGGGGGCAGCGCCGCCGCACCGCCCGCAACGGCTCGGCCCTGCGGAGGGGCTGGGGGGGACGGGAGGAAGGGGAGGAGGAAGAGCAGCGAAGCTCCCTCGGCGGCGCTCCCTCCGCCTCCCGCGGGAGACGCGGCCCAGCGCTGGGGGCAGGGCCCGCAGGCCGCGGGGCTGCCGGATGCCGCCGGTCTCCGCCGGCCCCGCCGAGACGCTGCTGGCCGGGGACGCGCCCGGCCCAGATCCCGTTCTCTGAGGGGAGAGGGTGCAGGCCTGGAGTGCCGGGCCAGATCGGGCCGTGGGGGTCAGCAGGGTCAGGGCGCAGCGGGGCTCTCCGGTCCTCCCCTCGCCCCTGCACCCCCGGGGCTGCCGGGGCCTCTGGAGACCTGCCCCGGGTGGACGCGCTCCCTTGGCGAGCGCCCCAGCTTCCAGAGAGGGTGTCCCATCCCCCGCGGCCCTGCTCTGTCAACTCCCTTTGGGTTGCAGAGCGCAGAAGGAACGGCCTGGCCTCTCCGCAGGCTTTGCATTATCCTGTGGAGGTTCTAGGTCAGGAACGACCCGACGATGGGGTAAATTGTGTCAAAGTTCCTATTTTCTCTGCAGTGTGATAGCAGTAGAGAGACAGGTCCAGCTATCCACTTTGTGTGTTAATAAAGTGGAAAAGCATTTACAAGATGACCTAAGTGGACTTTTAATTTATCGACCCACAAAACGTGTGTTATAGCAGTGGTTTCAATACAGCCAGTGCTGATGCACAAAACACTCATGCAAATAATCCCCTTGAATTCAATGAGACTGTCAATGGTTAAAAAGCTAAGCCTTTGCACAAGTGTTCACAGGATAATGGCCAACATAATTTGTGAACTGGGTGCTCTGCTCCATCAAAAAAAAAAAAAACAAAAAACAAACAAAAAAATGGCACTGACACCTTAGTTTGTAAAATCATCATAAAGTTTAAAATTTCAAGCAAATAAATGAGCAGAAATAGCAGGTTTCTTTTAATAGTTTCACACGTGTGCTTTCTTCTCAGGTTTGATTTTGAACCTCCAAATTGAATTTAGAATTACTGAAGAACTCATTGGGTTACACAACACTAATATTTTATAGAAAAAGGTACTACAGTAACATGTCTATCAACATAAATACATTTTGAAGATAAAAGAGCAGCCTTCCTTTTAAGCCAGGAGACCAGTTTCTTTTTGCCACCAGCTTTAGTTGTGTGATGAGAATGGCTGCCATGTCATTGAAATGGATATGTATATACACCATCCAGGAAAGCACTGCATTTTATTATTCTAATCACAAACCTTTCCTTTGTGACAAATTCATGCATTTGCTAGAATCAAACCATTAGAAAGTACCAAAAGTGACATGCTGTTTATAGTATGAACTTCTGGACCATTTTGTTGTTCAGTCTGAAAAATCAAACATTTCCTCTTACCACAAATCAAATATAAAATCAATAATTTTAGACTGAAAAATACAATCAATGTTATTAATCTTCAGTGTTATTAAATAAGTGTTTATATAGTCTGATTCTTTTATATCTGTTTATAAACATCTTGCTTCATTATATTTCATTTCACACTTCACTAGTCTGAGTTTCTTTTTTAAAAGCTAATTTTCCTTCCATTTTCCCAAAGAGAAGTCATTTAAGACAATACCAAACAATATGTTGTAAGTAAACTAAGAACCTGATATTGTCATTGCATGTACATGGACTTATTTCTCTGTTCATTGCAAAATCACACTTTACATGCAAATCAATTAGCATTTACAGGACAAGAAGCTTGAATAGCTCAACAGCGTTAGTAATGGGGAGAAAAGTGTGTTATCTTGTGTTAGACTGGTTAGCTTAGTATAAACCTAACCAGCACTCAGAATGTATAAATTGTGATTAAAATTCTGTTAATTGAAAAAAATCTAACCTGTCCTGCTTAACTCTGTGTTTAGTTGAGGAAGTTCATTACTCAAGCTGTAGTAGCTCTGTATTCTATTTCCTCTTTTGTTTTCTTAAAGAAAGTGAAAGCATTTAGTGTTTTAATGTGTTAAAATAACATCCAAGGCTACCAGTAAATATGGTGTATTGTCAAGTATGTGCTCATACCTTTGCTGCTTTTAGTCTTGACTCAATACATTTTGCTACAAAGGTGAGGTCTGTTTCTCATAGTTGCATCTGCTTAATTAAAGAAGTGCCCTGAACTCAATTAACACAAGGACTGCTAATTTGTGTGGACAGTCCTAATCCATTTTGAACCATGTATGGTACAGTTTTACCTCATTCTTTAGGTCTTTGTCTACAAACTGATATGCATCTGTTATTTTTATTCTCATTTAATCAATGGTCTCTTACTATTTTCTTATTTCACAGGCTAGGTTGATACACATCCATCTTCAATCAGTGTAAGAATGCCTGTAGGAGTCAATCTGAAAACTTTTGTCTATAGCAGCACAGGTGAAGGAACTACAAAGCATGATTACAGAAACCTGTCCTGCATGTGATCGTGTGTGCAGGCCCCTGCAGTCAACAGTCCATGTGGTGCCATTGACACAGCCTTCTACCCAATGTTCCTGAGAGCTGGGCCCTGAATGTGCGTGTTCTGAAGCGCTCCCGACACTTGCCTACCAGCCGTTTGGACTTCACTGACTAATGCTTCTGCTAGTACCTACAGAAGGCTAAAAACTGACAGCACTTGGCTGGAAAGTTTGGGAAGAGGTCATCAAGAGAGTCAGGTGTGCTTTGAATCCCCAAATGCTTTATGGATCTCAGTGTTCATTGGGAATTCTCTGCAGTTTTTATGAGGCTTAGCTCCAAAGAGTTCATCAGTGCTCAGTGACTCAAAGTATCACCAACAGATGTGGGCAATGCAGCTGCAGAAGTGGGAGAAATTGCCCAGAGTATGTGTAGGGCAGGGTTAGGCTGTTCCACTTCACCAAAACGTGAAATTAAATTAATCATAGTAAGACGACCATCCTCACTTATGAGTGGAGGCAGAACATGGTGAATTAGCAACCCTATAAGCAATTTATAAATAGAACAAAAATGTTAATTGAAATGCAGTCTTTTTCCCACCTACGTATTGTCACCATAGTCTTCAGGAAAAACAAATACAGTGCAATCACCTGGAGCAAGAGTTGGCAACTTTTCAGCACTGGTGAAACAAGGTTGTATTTTTCTTTGCCAGATTATGGATTAAGTCCCTTGGAAGAAACAGCTTGAATTGCAAAGTGCATTTGATCAACTAAAACAGTGAAATACTGCTTCAGGAGAAGACAGAGGTTTCTGTTTTCTGCAGTTTCTCCCTAATCTATTTCTTACTTAATGATGTTCAAAAGTCTCTCCATTGTTTTCTTTGGAAGGTTGTAGGGTTACAGCACTGCACTGCATTAATCTGTGCCCTAGAAGAACGTGGCAGATTTTTTTCATTAGTACAGCCTTATTTGGTTTTTTTAAATATTTCTATAACAGGAGGATAAAGGTATGTCAAAATATACACCAAATCTAATATTAGAGATTATCTATTAATAAATCTATTATTAGAGATTAGAGAGGTGTTGACAACACTTATGTTTTCAAGAACAAAAGCACTGAGACCTCACATTTTCCTAGTGTATTTACTTGTAGTTCTTAACTATTACACTGAAATTGAGCACAAAATATTTAGATGTGTGCAGATTTGGTTAGATAGTTTGACTTTTGCAAGTTAGTCTCCAGTTGCTAGTACATTTAAGAAAGGTAGGGGAAGGATCAACTGTTTCCATGGCACTGTCCTTATCTATCCTTTCACTCCTACAGGGGATTTCCAGGGATGGCTGCTGGCAAGGGAAGCCCTAGAAGTGCAGCTCAATTACTATTTTAGCGTTAAAATGCATCACAAGGTATCCACACAGATGGCTTCTCATCTGCTGGATTTGTAGTTTCCAGGAGGGAATATTGGGAGCAGAAGTATCTTTATCTCAGTCTTTCATATTTTTACTACCAGGAAACCCTTTCTCAGCCTTCTGCTCCAGTGCCTTCAGTGTCTGATTTAGTGCTAATTATAACAGAGTATCAGGGGGAAAAAATACCAAATTTAAAAAGAAGTCTGCCAATTCTGGAAAGTAATATGACCCCAAAGAGGAGATAAAATGTAGCATTTTCCCAAAATAAGATGCTTCACATTGCTGTATAGCAACTAAGAAGTCTACCAGAGTGCTAGTAAATGAGAGGATAAATCAAGAATTAGAGATAGCAGTTTCAAGTGTTTGTTCAGACAAAGAGAAGAATAATGATGCAGATGGAAATATGTTTTCCGGGGGAGAGAAGCATTAGAGATACAAGCCAGTGCCAGAGTAGGTGCTGACTGGCATTCCTGAACAACATTATCCCCAAAGAGATGGAAGTTATGGCGGTGGGGAAAGAGAAACCTTTTTTATGTTAATTCTCAAGATTGCAGTCAGCTGGTGGTCATTGGAGAGCAGCCTGGTCAGAAGTGCTATTTCTCTTTTGAAACAATTGAATCATGGAATCATAGAGTTGCTTAAGTTGGAAAAGACCTTTAAGATCAGAAAGTCTAATTGTTAACCCAGTACTTCCAGGTTCATCACTAACCTCTGTCCCTAAGTTCATCACTAATCTGTATCCCCAAGTGCCACCTTCTCACATTCTTTGAACACTTTCATGGACAATAATACCATAATTTCCCTGGGCAGCCTGTTCCAATGTCTGATCGGACTTGCAGCAAAGAAATCTTTCGTAATATCCCATCTAAACCTCCCCTGTTGCAACTCAAGGCCATTTCCTCTTGTCCTGGTGCATGTTCCTTGAGAGAAGAGACCAATCCCCATCTGGCTACAAACTCCTTCCAGGAAGCTGTAGAGAGGAGTGAGGTCTCTCTTAAGCTGCCTTTTATCCATGTTAAACAACCCCATCTCTATCAACTGCTGCACATCAGACTCGTGCTTCAAACCCTCCACCAGCTCTGTTGCCCTTCTCTAGACATGCTCCAGAGCCTTAATGTCCTTGCAGCGAGGAGCCCAGTACTGAGTGCAGGATTCAGTGCCAGTTCCCGGTACAGGGGACAGTCATTGCCCGGGTCCCATTGGCCTCTCTATTGCTGATACAGGCCAGGATGCCATTGGCCTTCTTGGCCACCTGGGCATACACTGGCTCATGTTCAGCTAGCTGTTGATCCAGGACCTTTTCTGATGGCCAGTTTTCCAGCCACTCTGCTCCCAGCCTGTAGCACTGCATGGGATTGTTGTGACCAGGTCCTGCAGGACCTGGCACTTTGCCTTGTTGAATCTCATACATTTGGCCATGGCCCATTGATTCAGCCTGTCTAGATCCTCTGCAGAGCCTTCCTGCCCTCCAGCAGATGAACGCTCCCGCCTAATTTAGTGTCATCTGTAAACTTACTGAAAGTGTATTCAATTCCTTTCTTCAGACCATTAATAAAGATATTAAACAGTACTGGGGCTCCTAAGGAACATCACTTGTGATCTTGTCAAAAGACTGGCAATGTTTTATTCCAGGTGTTGGGGTCTCCTTGCCATGACTTTGCCCTGTGACTAACTGTTGTAGTTACAATGAATATGAGCCACATAGGACATTCTCTCCATTAAGCTGCACTGTCTATTGAAAAAAACCATAAACTTAAGTGTTTAAGAGGGTCATAATTAAAAGTTAAGCTGGGAATAAAGAGTTACTGCAACAGTTTTTTCAAAAATGATGGACAAATATATAACCAGCAGCCTGAGGAAAGCCATCATAGTATATAAGATAAAAGAATGATTCATTTCCCTTATGACAGGTTTTGACTGGGGAAGGGAACAGCCTGGGGGGCTGGAAAGTGCTGTATTCTAGTTCTTCCTTTTTGACAGTTTTTCAAGATTGACAGTCAGGCCTATTTCCAAAAATGTGCTCTCCTCTAAATATGTGTTAATGAGCACAACAAATGAATTCTAACTACAGCAGCTGACGATAGTCTGCCATCCCACCAGAAGCCAGAGGACTCCAGCATCACTGTCCCGGGAGTCCAGTATCACTGTTCCACTGGGCGGCGTGATGAGCTCATGACCCCTGCCCTGTTCAAGTGAGTTGCGAGCATGAAGCTACAGAAGACCCCAAGGGACTGCTGCCTGGGCAGCCCAAATTAGCCAACTCATTTCCTTATTAGAAGATTGGTCATACTTGGGGAAGAGGTTCTGAGCTCCTCAGTGATGCTCTTAACTACCTGTGTGTCATGCTGGCCTCACAGCCTGCAGATAGTTTGATATGTGGACAGACCCAGGGCACTTGTCTGCAGAAGTATTTGTCTGGGCTTTGCGCTTGCTTGAAAAGGAGAGGCAGCTGTTAAGCTACTTTGAAAGCTTTGATGTGATGCTGATCATCACATTGGTTGACTCTGAAATCAGCAGAGAGTCTGGCGTATCTTGCATTTATCTCCATGAAGGCTGAAACCCAGATCGTAACTCCAGAGCTGTTGCTTACCCCCTTAGCCAGTTCAACCAGCAACATGTTGCTATGCTAATGGGAGAGGGAACTTCCTGCATCAAAGCTGATCTCTGGCTGCAGCCAGCACACTCAATTGTATTACGTTCTATTCTGGCATTTCTGGGAAACTCTAGTAGCCATTACCATCACAGGGCTGCAACTGAGCCTTTCCACCTGAGCACCACTGTATCACGGGTTACAGTGTTTTCTAATGGAGCAACTACTTTTGACCTCTTATTCTCTTTCGTTACATTGCCCAGCAAGACATGTAAATATGTGTACATCCCATCTCAGAACCCTCCAAAAGTTTCCTAGGTCTGAGTTTTGCTGCAGTTGATTGGATGCTGGTGTTTTATAAATCTTTCCAGATACCTTAGATACCAGCATGATTCCCTACTCTGGTTCCATTCAGGACCATAAATTCAGAATTTCATTTACCATGAAGCCAAGCTACTTGTGAAGTCTTATGATACAGAAATTCAGCTGTAAATATTGCATGCACAACTATTTGAACCCCTCACACTTTTTCCCACTCAAATCCTGCTCATCATTTTCAGAAGTCTTAGTGAAAGAACTGCTCATCTGAGAGCAAAGGAGTTGCTCTGCACATGGAGATCAACTGACCAAGGCAGTTTGCTGCTTCCCCAGTCAGACATGTCTCAGCAGAAGTTAGCAGAATTGTAAATTCAGTGGCCTGCCATGCTCCCATCACCCCAAGCAGAGCCCAGGGTTCATATTGCAGCCATGCTCCTTGCCTAGCTCTGCTTTGTGCTTGGGTTGGCACTGAAGAAAGTGGCAGCATCCTCAGAGATGGAGATCCAAAGAAATCTTCTCTGTCTTTCTCTCCTCCTCACCTTCTCTTTCTCTCTCAATTTATCTTTTTCTCTCATCTTGCTGTCTTTTAGACATTACATGCGCAGTGATATAAATATTCTTGCAGTAAGCAGCAAATCCTTCTAGTACAGGAGACTGACCTTACTCCATCTGTGGCTCCTGTGCAAACAAACTAGTGTGCCTGTTGGGAACCTCTACAAATTTTGGTACAGGCCTGAAACACATGGCTCATATTGTGTAAAACTTATGGTTATGGTATCTGCATCCAGGATGTTTCCTTTTTCATTATGGATTGTGATAGCAAGAAATGGAAACATCAAAGGCCCATTTCTGCAGCAGTTTCTCAGGCAGAAGCTGTGGCAGGTGGTGCATGCCTGGGCACAGGGATAGGTACGCATGCTTTCCCTTCTAACTAAGCAATGGAGTAACACTGGTTCCCACTGTAACTGAAAGGATACAGTATCACATACTGGCAGGATTGTGTATCTCATATACACAAATATATTTTACTTTTTTAATTTTATTTTGATGTTAAGTCAGATGAACTTGAAAGCTAGGGATATGATTCATCTCACTACCTTTAGCTGTCTGAGAAGGAGGTGCCTGGTCCAAGCTATTAATCCAGTCTTCCTGCAAGTCAGCGGGGAGAGAGGGGAATTTTTACTCCTTCCTCCTGAGGGTGCGTGTCCCTGATGGAGTCTGGCATAGGTGGATGTGTGGAACTTGATGGCTGGTAATAGCTGGAAGAAATTGTACAGCTTCAAATGAAAATCCTAATATTACTTTTTCTGCATATTTAGGAAGTGTTTCCTGAAAAATAAGTTGTGCACGAATACAAAGATATGTTGCTCAGGCCTGTGTTAGGAAAGTATGCACAAAGGTCTCTCTTTTGTACACTATATGGTAAAATATATGGTGAAATATTATGTTGGCATAAGAAAATCAGAAATGATTGAATCTAGTAGAAAGATCCTATATATAAAAGAATGTAATCCTGATGTGTATTCCTAAAAAAAAAATTCAAAAGGACCCTGTCTTTTTCAGGTCTGGAAAATTCAACATCAGGAAAACAATTTCTTAACATGAAATTGTTATTAACTTCTTAAAATGTAGGCATCAACTCTAACATCCACTGTTTTCCTATTGATTAATTTATGTCTGGTTTTTTAGTATTAAGGCATATTTATTTTAAATTACAAGCTCCAGAGATCAAGATTCTAGTGTTATAAATACATAGCTGGAAAATCTTTCCTGAGTGCTTACTGTCAAAACAGACAAGACAGAAATGGTGGAGATGATGGAAAAGAACTGAAGTGGCTTGCTATAAGTCATGTAACAATATCCTCTATTAAGCTCCAGTGAGGGGGTAAAGCTACCCACTGGGACTTCATATGGACTAGATTACCTTACAGTTAGCTTGGCCTTTCCAGTTCAAGTGTTCCCTTGGGAGAAAGACAATATGACAAATCACAGTTATATTCAAACATGGAATATCATGAGCAAGAATTTTATTCTTTTTAGTATTGTTAGAATGGCAAAAGATTTTGTGAGGAATAGTTGTGGTTGCCATATCCTTGTTAGCAATCTGTTGTAGCACCCAGGTAAACTACATTCCAAAGGCTGATGAGTATGATTTTTTTTTTTTTTTTTTTTTTTTTGTGTACAAATATGAGATAATCTGAGATATATTCAGTGGACCAGATATACTTTGGCCCTGTGCTATATTCCCCACTCAGCCTCCAGTGTTTCTTTATTGAGGACGTTTATGGATATTTCGCATGCTCAACCAGGGCTCAACTCTGAGCCCTGAAACCAATTGAGGTGTGGTCAGAAAATAAATCTGACTTCATCATTCCCAATATTGTTTCTCAAAGACAGTGACCTTTCTTCTGTTGGTTAATATTTCCTTACACATATGAATAAAAATGTAAATGGAATAATTTTGTTGCAGCAGGTCTTGTGCCAATCAAGACCACGTACTATCCATCCTTCACCTGTTGACGTAAAATCAGGAAAAGCTTTGAACTGGCTCTATACGGGTCAGCAAGCTCATCCTGGGGTGGGCCAGAGTGTGCAGTAATCCAGCCATGTAGAGATCCAGCATAAGCATCATGACATCACAGCCTGAGGGTAGATAGCCATATCTTGGTTTGCTTTTTTCCCCCACAGCTAGTCACATTGCAAACTGACCAAAAGCTGCTTAGCCCGGGAAGCCTAATAATAAGATCTCTGTGCTCATCGAACAAAGTTAGGTTGTTTTCAGGGAGGATAAGCTCTTGGAGAGGCCTCACATCTGTCTGCAAAACATCAACTGTACCTACCCTGAGAGCACTGCCTTGCATTGCTCTGCTGTGCATGGAAGTACCAGGAAGTTTGGCCTTTGTGCTTCTTCCCCCTTTTCTTGGGGGAAGTGCATGAGTCAGCCATCATAACAACCTTTGGTACTCGACGTGGCTTTGCTCTCTTCTGTGGTGCAGATGTGGGTTTCATTGTTCCATCAACCACTGAAGCAGCATCTGGAGTCATCACTTCCAGTTGTTGAACCAACAAAGCAATAAAAGGAAGTCAATTGTGGGATACCCATTGCCAAAAGCGTTGGACCTGAGCTGAAACTTAAACACCTTGCTAGGCATTAACCTCTGCTGACTTATCTCTTCATGAGTGAATTCACATTCACCTAAGGAGTTTTATAGGCAACCTTGCAATTCTCATTGGCCTTCATAAGCAGGATTTGGGAAGACAAGATTCATTATTGTTATTGGTATTATCATTGTTATAGTTGCTAATTATATGTAGTTGCTACCTGTGGAAGATTTGTGTTTAACGGAGCCCAAGTTGCAGTGTGTTAGGTCAGAACCTGCCCTGAAAGGTTTCCTGAACAGCAGTCAGCTGCTGTGGAGCCAGTGTTATCATTTTTTTCAGCAAAGCCTGGGGCAGATCACTTGAGCCCTGCCCCCAGAAGCAGCCTGTTCTCTGCATTTCTCCAGATGGTTGCTCTGTTGCAAGTGTCCATCCTCAACTTTTCCATCCATTATCTGTTGCCATTGCAAATAAAATAAATGCATGATCCAATGAAATTTGCAGTAGCTATCAGCAAGTAAATATCATGAGTCTAGTGTCAAGTGACTTCTGTATCTTGG